AACATTTAGATTCGGCTAAGCCCACAAAAAAACTTATTCTACAAATTAAACTAATTAACGTAACTAACTTTAAGTGTCAGCTTAGCAGACAATAAAATAATAATAATAAATAAAAAATAATTGTTAGAGTCATCTTTGTTGACACAAAAGATAAATTTAAAATAACAATATTTTTTAGTGTTGACAATGTCGATGATAACGGATTTTAATTTTAAAAATATTATAAGTTAACGTCTTTATAGCTGATGTTAAACAAAATTTAATTAATATTTAAAAATCACCCGACATATTTTAACAATGAGTGAGAGTGGGTTAAGTCGTCTTTATGAGGTGTTTGTTTGCTAGGCCGACAAAATAGATCTAGTGTCAACGAATTTAGTGAAGGTCATTCTCTTGATGCATAACCGACGCTAATTACAAAGTAGAGTAAGCTTTTTTAAGTTAGAGTCGGTTAAAAGCCGACACTAATAACCATCATTCTTGTAGTGACCGTTGGCTAGTCATTTTTGCTTATCCAAGGGTCAAACACCTCAGATGGAGGAGGAAAAAGAGTTCATGGCTAAGATTTTGTATGCTTCAGCCATTGAAAGTTTGATGTACGCGATGGTCTATACAAGGCCAGACATTGGCCATGTAGTGGGAGTTATTAGCAAGTTTATGTCAAATCTAGGTAAAGTTTATTAGGAAGAAATTAAGTGGATTTTGAGGTATCTACAAAGCACTATAGAGAAGTGTTTGTACTTCAGTAAAAGAGAATTAAAAGTACAAGGCTACATAGATGCAAACTTTGAAGGTGAAGTTGATCACTAAAGAAGTATCACTAATTACATTTTCATTATTGGTATTACAACTGTTAGTTGGATGTCACAAATATAGAAGATTTTTGCTTTATCCACTACATAGGTTGAGTATGTAGCAGTAATAGAAGCCATAAAAGAATTGATATGGCTTTAAGAATTATTAACAGAAATGAGATTCATTAAGGAGAAAAAGTGTTTTGCATAGTGATAGTCAAAGTGCAATACATCTAATAAAGAATTAAGCATTTCATTATAGAATAAAATGCATTGGTCTCTGTTATCACTTTATCTGATTCATTTATTTATTTATTGAGGATGAGGTGCTAATTTTGAGAAAGATTATAGGAAGTAAGAACCCAATAGACATGTTAACAAGGTAGTAACCATTAACAAATTGAAGTTGTGGTCAACTTTAGTTGGCCTGTTAGAATAATAGACAAGATAAGGTTGCTGCATTGATTAAGATGTGAAGACATATTGAAATCAGTCTTCAAGTAGGAGGTTGTTGGAAATGGTCAACAAATAAAAGAAGTGATGTTATTTTTACTTAAGAGAAAATTAAAGAAAATCTATAAAATCAAAAGTAATGCATGAAAATATGAAAGAAATGAGTGGATGAAAAAAGTTACATTTATAAATATAAGATTTTTTTTATTGTTTTATTGATCATTCTAACTACAAGAAAGAAAAAAAGAGAGAGAAAATAAAAAATTTAGAAAATAATATTTTATTTTCTGGATGATTTTAGTTGTATGTTGAGTGTTTGAAAATATTGTATATATTTTCTCTTTTTTCAATAATATATCTATAGTAGCCCGGAGACTTAGACACAATTAGTTGAATTTCGTTATCAATTTTGTGTATTATTATTTCATATCTATTTTGTTTCTCACCTATAGTCATTGATTTTGGGTGTTAAAGTGTCTATACAAATGTTTGACACCCTAATTAGTGCCTATAGAATATATGACAAATTTAATAAGGATATTTGAGAAAAAGATTAAAATGAGATTTTTTAAAATTATAAAAATTAAAAAGATTAATTTTTAATTTAAGAGATTAAAAACAAATTTATCTCATATAATTGAGAAATTATAAAATTATTTAAGCCTATTATATTTTTATAAATTTAAATATTTAAATACAATCATATAAATTGTCAAAGTATAAACATTTGCCAGTCACCTAATAATTTTACTTCCTAATATTCCTTTGATGGATCGTATTTTAGACTGTATTAGTCTGCAATCAAAATTGTAATAGTAATATATGGCACATCAACCCCTATAAATGAAATGCAAACAATTATTTTGGACAGGATGATTTTCACGGACTAAGAGTTTTTAGAGGTTTTTATTTTTATTTTTTTTTATTTTAAATTTTATATTTAATTTAATTTAATTTTTCATATTTATTTATAGATAAAATCAACCTTCAACCTCTAAATATTGAACATAGATAATTATTTTAGATAAGAACATTTTTAGAAATTGTTCTTACCGGAAATCTGTTGTAGAGCTGATCCTCCAGGTAAGATCGGTGAGCCTCCTTCACTGGTAAGCTTGATGCTCCAATATGGAGGTGGTACCTGCAAAAGAGACTCCGATGCTAAAGTTAGTATTTGTGGGAGTATGAGTCTCGTATAAGTAATGCACATACCTTAGTGTGAATTAGGGTTGCTTTGGGCCTTGGGCCTGAGATAAGATATGATAAGATTAGATAATGGATTTCGTTTGGAGCGAGGTCCCTTGAGATTAGTTATGATCTACTTAAATGCCAAGCTGACGTCGCGTAGCGCGTGCCCGAAGTCATCTTACGCTGTGAATCCGAGCTTGGAGCTCGGCTTCGCAGTACGGATAGTACACTAGCCCCCCGAGCTCCGAAGACCGTAGGTCGAGGAGTTAAGACCGAGCTTTCTGGAGGGGAGTGACCTTTTCGCGTACGTTGGCCTGTCAGGGTGCCATGTGTCATAACTGTCGTTTCTCATTTCAGTAACCGAGGTCGGCGCGTTAATGGGCGTGACGGTTATGTGATGATGGCCTTATTTAATGCGTGGTCAGGTGTGTCCTCTGGTTGACACGTGTTGTGGCCGTTTGGATTTTGGAAAAACCCCCTTTACTCTCACTCGCGCCTCTTTACCTTTCACTTTACTCTTTTCGTTTTCTTTCTCCTTTGGCTTCTTACGCAAGCTGCTTTCGTGCACCTTCGCTTCTGTCCAGTCTCCGTCGCTGTTTTCACAGTTTCCGCCGCCGTTTCCGGTAACCCCGTCATTATTAGGGTTGTTTTGTGAGGAAGAGTACCAGGTACTTCCTTTCTACAGTTTTCTTTTTTCCTCTTCCCCAGATCTTCTTTTTCTTTAATGGCTGGCGGAAGTGGTGCCGGTTCTTCTGCGCCTGCCAGGGGTAAGGCGCGCGGCAAGGCGGTGGCTGCTGGGAA